CAATGACAAAAACGGTACTGACTCCGAGCCGAGCCCCGACAGCCAGGTATCTGCCGACCTGCGTCTCCGACCAGGCGAGCTGGGCGGAGAGGGTGGCCAGCATGAGCGCCAGGAGCTGGGCGGCGAGGATGGCGACGAGGGCGGCGCCCATGTATTCCTCGTTGTCGGCGTACAGCTCGCTCTCGGCCAAGACGCCGATGATGAGCCACGGGACCGCCGAGAGGATAGTGCAGGCGACGGAGAAGCGGGCGCACATGGCGGTGTCGGTGGTTTCGGGCGCGAACTCCATGGGTTCGAGGGTGACTTGGCGGTCTTCATACTGGGGGAGGATCGCTTTCTCGGAAGACATGACGCTCGGCTATGATGGGGAGCGGGCCAAGATGCCGGATGGATGTTGTCGAGCAGGAGGTGAAATTGGTTTTTGCGTCTGGGAATGATGATGTCTACAGAGATACGACTCCCAGATGACAGGCCAGGCTGCCGCCTTTTGAACCCAACGAGGCCTCTGGCGGAACAGTCTCTCCCAAGAATGCCCAGACTGGGGTCGGGAACAGGGCACAGCAGTCTGAGGAATCCGACCTCTCTTGAACGGGCTTGGCTCAGCGCGGTGTGGTTGCCACGACGCTTCCCCCAAGAGGGGCTGAATTCTTCATAACAGCCTGCGTGCGCTTCACTTCTCGGCATTCCGCCCCCGATGCTCTTCTGCAGGGTGTGGACGGTTGGGCCCCATGTTGCGCCGACTGTACACCCTAGAATCGCATAAGTTTGGTCGGGCAGAGCTTTTTTGCGCAAGACACCGCGTGTCTGGGAGCCAATGGCCAGAGGAACAAGAGTGGTGGATCTGGCCAGGCCACGTTCAACAAGCTGCACGGTGCACATTCCATGACCCAAGTCGTGTTGGAATGCTGCGGGCCACGATGCAAGGGGCACGTCGATTGATGACAGCGCTGCGACGCCCCCCCTTTGGCCCCCATACCAGAAATAGCCGGCATGGCGTGCTCTTCCAAGACGTACTTCTGTCTGCCAAGCTCATGGCAGGGAGGTCTGCCGCAAGCGAGTCCTCGATATAGCCCAGAGACGAAGCTAACGCGTCGCTCAAGGTAGCCTGAGCATTCAGTGCGCCGAACTATTGCTGTGCATGGCTTCTGATACAGGGCTCGGTGCGTGGCGGTTCGCACGCGTCGGGTGCCTCTGTCACGACACAATGCTGCTGTGGAAGGCCAAGCTCCCCGCCACCAGCGCTTCAAGGTGGATCAGGCGCTGAGTGCCAGGCAAAAATCGAAGCGGCCAAGTCATGTCTCCTCTTTGTTTGTTTGTCACCAGTACCACCTACGCTGGATGGTACGAAGTTGAGAGCCGTTCACCGCACTCTCTGCTTCGACGCGAAACAGGCTTCAGAAACATCACGACACCAAATCGCAGGCTCAACGCCAAACAGCCCAAAACAAAAGAACTGCTCCGAGGCGGATTCGAACTGCCGTCAATGCAGTATTGTAGTAAGAACCACAATGCATCATCCTAACCAACTAGACGATCGAAGCTGTTGTATGTGCAGGGGTGCGGCCGGCGGCATCTTGACCGACGTGGACGGTGGCGTCGTGTGAGACCCGCTGGGCTGCAGGGCCGCCGTTTGTTTTCCGTGTCGTGATCGCTTCGCGTGGACAGGGCGGATGTGGTTACCGGCCGGTCGTGGCCTCATGAGGCTTCAAGGTTGAGTCCTTGAGCATGCATGTTTTGCTCGTCTGTGAGCAGCCATCTCGGCGCAAGACATCTCAACGGCATGCACGGAAGTGTGACATCAAGTATGTAAACACTGCAAAAGCACGGTCAAGTCATCGATCTATTCGGCGTATGCAAGCCATGGATATCATCCATGCCCAGAGCCATGGGGGCATGCTTCTCTCTATCTACAACGGGAATCTCACTCATCACTCATGAGTCATTACAATTTTTGGTTCGCTTTTCCACCTCGGTTGCTTCCGTTCATCCCTAACCCCAGACATCTAGGACAGGGCCTGGACGAGCTTCTGCACAAGAGCGCGCGTCTCGGGCTCGAGCTGCTCCTCGGGCGGGCTGAGGACCTGCTGGAGGATGGGCAGAATCTTGGGCGTCAGCTGCTGGACGGCAGGGTTCTGCTGGTCGTAGAGCTTGAAGATGGCCTGGTAGATGGGCTCGTTCTCCTCGTAGTCCTCCTTCAGGGGGAGCACGTCGAGGACGGCGGGCAGCACCTTCTCGACGAGGGCGGGCTGCGGGTTGGCGCTGATCATGCGGCAGATGCAGCCAGAGACGTTGTCGGTGATGCGCGACTCCTGGACCTGCAGAAGGGGCTCGAGCTTGCGCAGAATGTCGGCGTAGCGAGGGAAGGTCGTGTTGGTGTCGGTCGAGTTGAGGATGAGCTGGCCAATGGCGTAGGCGGCGTTGGACTTGGTGAGCGAGTCCTCGTCGGAGAGGCGGTGGAAGAGCACGGGGAGCAGCGAGCCGGTGAACTCGGTGACGGCGCCACCCATGAACTTGATGGCCTCGGCAATGACGCCGACGGCGGTCGAGCGCTCGAGGGACTCCTGCGAGCTGGCGAACTTGAGGACCGGCTTCTCAAAGACCTTCCAGAGCTCGCCAAAGTCGGGGCCGAGGGCCGTGGCGAGGCCCAGCACGACGTCGAGGGCCGTGTCAATGACGAGCCAGTCAAACTCGGACGAGCCGCCCTCGGCGTCCTGCTCCTCCTCCTCGTCACCAAGATCCTGCTGGCAAGGGTGCGAGCGGGTGATGAGAGTGCTGAGGACGGTGACGGTCTGGGGGAGCATGTCCTCCTGGGTCAGGATGGCGGGGCCGCAGGCCTTGAGGGTGGCACCGACGTTGCGGTTGATCTCGGTGACGACGTCACTAGAATAATCGTCAGCGTCAAGTCGAACGGAGCAGCGTGCGTGACAACGTGTAGAAGGAGATCCAAAGTCAGGAGTAGATCAAACGTGTTCTCAGCAACCGCGGCATAAAATGCCGCGTCTGAGTGAGCTGGGTATAACGCGAGGTATTTCATCATTCAGGAGTGGGGATTGTAAAGAGAGGCATGGCACATACCGTTCGTTGTCGTCGGCCCAGAGCATGAGAGTGGCCTTGGTGACAAGCTCGCCGAGGGCGGTGAGCGAGGCATCAGGGGTCTGCTTCAGGGGAATACCAGGCTGCCACTTCTGGCCGGACTGGTCCTCGAACAGCTGCCAGACGCGGGCGTATGAGCGCCACAGGGTGGAGAGGGCGGCCTTGCGGCTGCCGTCATAAGCGCTCTCCACGAGGGGAAGGATCTTCTCCATGGCGGGCTCGAGGTATTGCCTGACGGCGGCGAGTTCGCACGAGTGGGTGACGACGTCACCGAACACCTCGAGAGCGATCTCCTGCTCCATGTCGATGGCGGTAACACCGGCGAGGTCATCAAGCCAGTCCTCGTCATCCTCACCCTCCTCAGCAATGGCCTGGTCAATCTCGTCCTCGGTAGGCTTGACCTTGATGCGGCGGCCACCGACGGAAATGACACCATCGGGAGCGTCGTCGGCGTTGAGGCCGGGGATCTCAAGCTCCTCCTCCTCAGACTCGAGGCACTCAAAGAGGCCCTTGAAGACGCCGGGCAGGAAGTGGGCAAAGTCAGCACCGTAGACCTTGGAGAGCGAGGCCCAAAGAATGAAGCTAGTCTCCTTGAGGCGGGCGCTGTCGAGGGACAGTGCCTCCTCGCTGGCCTTCATGAGGTCGACGACGTAGGGCTGGAAAGCCTCGGGGCCGACGGCGCCGGCGATGCGGCCCATGGAGTCGCAGACGGAGGAGCGCAGAGCGAGGGTGTCATCATCACCGGTGACGGTGACGTACTGGCCGAGAGCGCTCATGACGTCCTTGAAGTAAGGCTTGAAGGCCTCACCACCCATGGAGAAGGCGATGGCGCCAATGGCGCCAGCGGCGGCAGCCTTGACGCCCGAGTCCTCGTGGTTGAGGAGCTTGCCCATGGGCACGATGAGCTTGGGGCCGTACACCTTCATGAGGTCGGCCTCGAGACCCTCGCCGACGAGCGAGTCGAGGGCGCTGCAGACGGAGCGGATGACACCGACGTTCTTCTTGCTCGACTCCTGCGAAGCAGCCTCGAGGTTCTTCAGGAGAGCGGCAATGAGGTCCTCGTGACCAGAGGCGAGCTCATCAGCCATCTCGTCGGCGAGGTGGATGAGACCAATGAGGGCAGCGTAGCGCACGCTGTCATCGTGGTCGTTGAGGAGCTTGACGATCATGGGCAGGAGAGTCTTGAGCTGGGTGGCAATGAAGTCGGGAGCACCCTCGGCGGCCGTGCCGAGAGCGAGGATGGCGGCCTTGCGGTGGCCGGGGTCCTGGTGCTGGGCGTACTGGGGGAACGTCTCGAGCAGGGGAACGATGACCTGGCGAGGGGGCAGGTCGCTCGCGAGCTGGTCGATCAGGGAGAGAGCAGTCTTGGCGGGCGACGTGTCGTCGGGGTCGGCCTCGTCCTCGACCTCGGTGAGGATCTGCATGCTCTTGACCATGAGCTGGGCACCCATGTCCTTCATGGCCTGAATCTTCATGCGGCGGTAGCGAGCACACTGGCCGAGGAAGGACAGAGCCTGCGAACGGGCCTCATCCTCCGCGTTGGTGTTGGCGGCCAGGTCAATCATGAACTGGATGAGATCCTTGAGGTGGGGTGCCAGGAAGGCAGGGTCGTAGGCGAGGAAGTTTTGGAAAATCTCAAAAATGACCTTGTACTGCTCGTCGGCCTCGGCCTGCACGGCGTCCTTGAGAATCTGGACAATGGGCTGGACGAAGAAGTGAATGGCAGCGAGGCTCTCGGCATCGTCCTCGGGGTCGACGAGCATCAGCAGCGAGCCGATGGCCTTGACCGAGTTGAGGCGGACATCGACGCTGGCGGGGTCCTGAATGGTGGACTTGAGGATGTTCAGGAGCTGGGGCACCTGCTCGCTGAAGTTTGTGGGGTCCTCGTCGAGAATGGCGTAGAGGGTGAAGGAGCCAACCTCGCGGGCGGCTGTGCTCTCCTGGCTGACGAGGGAGAGGAGCTGCTCGACGCAGGCCTGACCGGCGGCGTCCTTGTTGTCGAGGTCAATGCTGATGGCACGGGCCAGGAGACGGCACTTGGAGTGGCGACCGTTGGTGGTAGGGTCGCTGACAGCGCTCTCAATGAGGTGCTTGCGAGCGACGTTCCGCTGGTCGTCGTTGACCTTCAGCCAGTGCTTGGCCGTGATGCGCTGGGCCTGCACAGAGGCCAGCTGACGGATGCCGGCGTCATTGTGGGAGACGGCAATCTCGATGAGCAGCAGCAGGGACTGGGGCTGCGAGTAGTAGTTCTTCTGGAGCTCGGCGGTGACGGCCTTGACCTTTTCCGTGTCGGCTGTTTAGGAACGAAAGTGTCAGTAAGATCAATACCATGCGAAAAGATGGAAAAAATACGTGGTTTTGTAGGAACAGCGAGAAGAGGAAGAAGAAGCAAAAGGAAAGAAAAAAATCCTGGTGGCTGGGGGTAGGAGCCAGGGTTTCTTCTTCCTCACCTCGCTTCGTGCCGGTCAGTGCGGCCAGCAAGGGGGGTTGCACGATGTCTTGCCTTGCGCGCGCGCGCAGGCTCTCATCGCCGCCAAAAAAACGAAGGAGGGGCAACGGGATAGAGACTCACGAATCTGGCTCGCCTGGAGCAGCTGCGCCAACTGGTCCTTGTCCATGATGGCTGATTTTGGGAGGAAAGGAGGAGGGGGAGGAGAAGTGAGGAGGGGTGGTAGAGGGGAAGGGAAAAAAGGTGAAGCCAGAGAAAAAGTTGCCCCGCGGCAGAATTTATCAGGCAGTCTGTTGTTTTGGGGCCCCGCTCCCCTCTGTTGTTACGACCATGTATGTACATGTACCTCGTCCTTTGGTCCTTGGGTACGGTACTTCAGCGGTTGCGTGGGACTGGCGCGAACCATGAAGTACCTCTCTCTCTCTCTCTGCCTCTGGTGTGTCGGGTGTGTGTGGGCAGGCGCAAATTCCGGTGCTGCGCTGGCTGTCGCTCGCTGCTGCCCAACTCCAGTGGCCATCGCTTCCCAGATCAGAAGCACCACAAAAATTTACATTTTACTGGGGCCATCGATGACCTGGCTTGCCTGGCTTGCCTGGTCATGGTCCACAGCCTATTTTCCGCCGTCCATGGTCCACCTGAATGAGCAAAGCGTCCTGCTCGAGAGGAAGACCCTGGAAAAAAAAAATTCTACTGCCCCCGCATCTACAAGATTGGACTTTTCGGATAAGATAAGAAGTGCTGTCGTGGCGGGGTAACGCGACGCGTACCGTGCCTTGGTGCGGGCTCGCACTGTTAGCACTGTCCTTACGTCATCCCTTCCTGTCTGCCAGGAGATGGATGAATCACAACGCAGCCCACTTGCACCTCGAGAGAGAGAAACGCCCTGATCGCGTACCTGTCTATTTACCTACGCACTTGTCTTGGTGACCAGATCGAGTTCTTGTATCTCTCTGACCTGCTCCTCCAAACCCATTTTCATCCAATTCCGAATTTCCACTTCATTAATCAAGGGCTTTCCGATGTTTCAAAATCGAAGAAATGAGGACTCTCAGCGTCCTCAGCCTCACGATGCCTCATGTGCCTCTAGGGTCGAGCAAGCGCAGTCTGCTGCCACCCATGCCCTCCGAACGAACTCGACTCCAGCTTGCTTGTCAGAGGCGTGCGAGGAGGCGGCCTATTTCAGCTCCTGAGATGTCAGGGAAACGCCAAAGCGATGCACATGAGAGGCGTCGAGCTGAGAGGTGCTCTTCCCAACCGCACCCCGGCTGACTCAACGGCTGCTGCAGATCGATTCGGCACTTGGATCAACCAACATGGGCCCGGAGTGCTGCCACGGCAAGCCTTTGGCCCCTACGACCTTCCCAAAACATGCCACAAGCCCGCCAACCACTTTCGTCACCGCCATGCCGGTGACTCAAAGTGAGGCCAATCCGCCTCGTCTATCCGACATGGCAAGCGGCTGACATGGCGTATATAGAGGCGCATCATTCCGCATCTCAGGCAGTCTCTTGACTGTCTTCAGGAAGCATCAACCATCACCACCGCTACCATGACAACAGACGCGGCTCCCCAGGTTAACGACCTACTCATCGTGACGGATGCCACGTCGTCTATGAACAGTTACCTACAAGCTCTCCGCGATGTCCTTCCCGACATCATCCGGGTTTCCTCTCTCACACGCTGCTTTTGCGCGTCGGCATCATTGCCTACCGTGACTATGGCGGCCGTGCCGGCGCGGCTCCTGTGACTGAGTGGTCAGGCTGGAACTACATGGACGAAAACGACGATGATGGCGAAAGCATAACCCAATCCGGGCTCATCGACTTCGCCAACACTCTTCACGGCAGTGGGGGCTACGACTGGCCCGAGGCCGCCAAGAGTGGCCTTGCGCTCGCACACAGCGTCATGCGCGAGGACGCGACAACCATCATGCTGCTCTTCACTGATGCCCCTCCCCACCTCCTAGCTGTGGGAGGCGTACCATGTCGGGCTGAGATCGCCAAGCTGTCTGACCGGGAGAGTTTTGGCGGCAGCGGTCCCGACTTTATCGATTGGATCTCAGGTGCCACACTCTTGTCGGATGGCGACCGCAAGGCACAAGTCTTTGCCCTCGTCTACGCCACGGATGTCCAGGCGTCACTCCTGTACCTGACCACCATGACAAACGGCAACTATTACCACCTCAAATCAGCCACATCAGATGTCGTTTCCGACTTGACCATGCATGTGCTCCTAGCCTGGATGGGATTTGCGAACGACCAAGACGAACACTTCAACGATATCGTAACGACTGCCACCTACCGCAACACAGATGGGCTGAGAGATGCTCGGAAGGAAGGTGACTCGAGTTTGCGAAGTTTCATGGATTCGCAAGCTTGGCGGCTTCAGTCCAGCCACGTCAACTTCAACATCACGTTGAGCGAAAAGGCCCAAGGCCATGGGACGACTGTGGTTGTAGCGAATCCACGCGCGTTGCCCATGCAAGCGCTCGAGGCGAGATACGCCAACGATGCCGAGTACCGCGTCTTTGCGTCAAAGCAGCTTGCCGCCATCATCGAGAGTAACGCATCCGCCGTGGGGACACATCCCGTCTACGGTTCGCTCTGGCGCGCCATCTGTGCTGACAGGGCGAACGATGCCCGAGCCGGTCTGGTCATGGCGTTTGGACAGGCTATTGACCGTATCACCAGTGAAACAAAACGTCAGAAAATGAAGGACTGGCTCGCGCAATCTTACGATTTCAGCGCGGTCATCAAAGATGCCATCAGCGATGTGGCCGAGGACGAACGTTATCCCTGCGTGCTTTTCGACCCAACAGAGAATTTCACGGCCGTCGCTACCGCCGG